CTCTGTCCTCTGGGGAAAAGCTCAAACCTCTGCTCTGATAGTCATGCTCCTGCAGAGCCTCTAGCCTCATCTGAAATACCTCAGGTCCCTCCAACCTACCTGTCCCTTTCTCTCTTGTCACACTGTTCCCAAGATATCGAGGTTGCCACACAGCCACTCACAGCCAGAGATCCAGACTTCCTCTCCGGTCTCCTCATCTTTACTGTCTGCTTTACACAAAGTGCCATTTAACCTATCTTTGCTCATCAAAACTCCAAGTGTCCATCAAGTTCCAGATTCAATCTTGCTTCTTCCTTTTCTGATGCCCTATCTGGGTAGAGTAACTTCCTCTATGTTCCCCAACCCTGTGGACCTCCTCTGGGCAATAAGCCCAGCTTGCCTGCCCAATGTCACAGTGCCTTGTATCCCAGACCCACCTCACACTGGTCTGTGGCCAGGAGACACAACCAAAACTCACATGCAGCCTCCTGTTCCTGAAGTGCCTCTTGTCCCTGAAGCGCCTTGGTGGCCCCAAGTGTGTAGCAAGGAGAAGCCAGACGTGAGGCTCCCACTGTCCTGCCCTCAGACCAAGTTTCAACACCTCTGACAGGGCGGGCAGCTTCCTCTGTTTCCTGGCAGGGCCGTCTCTGACTGAAATAGCCCCCACGGGGAGCCACCCCCTCCCTAACACCCCTAACACCAAGCTCTGGCGGAAACTGGGCCTAGAGGAGTAAGGAGGCGGAGAAACGGTCTCCTTCCCAGAACCCTTTCCCACCCCAGCAGAGGAAAGAGGTGGTAGAGAAAGGGGAGTGTGTGTGTGGGTGGGTGGGTGGGGCGGACCAGAGGCTGCTTACCAGTGCCACGAACCCAGCAGCTTCCTTTCTCCTCAGCCCCCTATGTTTTCTCATCTGTCAAACGGGCAGGTTGGTGGTTAAATAGTTTCTGGTTCCTTCTTCAGCTGTAATACCCAGAGCCATCTTCCCAGTCACCCACTCCTTCATCCACCTCTCCTTTCTCAGTTCATTCAATATCTCATTCACAGACATGCCCATCCCTCTATGTGGCAATCTACTTATGCACTTACTTATTTAGCCACCCTCTCCTGTCCTTCTTCGGTCTTCCTTTTCTCTACAGCCTTTACTGAGCATTGACTATATGTCATCAGATACTTCCATATTTCCCCATTTAGCAGTCCCTGCCTCCTTCCCCACTGCAGGTCTGGAGCTCACAGGGGAGTGATGGGTGTCAGTTGTGGGGATGGAGGTGATGCCCTAAGAACTCACACGAGTTCTCCCTGCCTGTGCCAAGTCCTCCTCCCACCCCTTCTCACCACCAGACCAGGACTCAAGAGCTATCAGAACAACTAGAGGAGGGGATGTGGCTCCTCACCTCACTGTCTCAAAGAAGCCAGCTCCAGTGGTGGAGGCAACACTCAGGAAGGTGACCTGGAGGAGGTGGGCTTAGATTTGGAGCAGCTGAGGTAACTAGGGGAGGAGGGACAGGGTGGTTCAGGGAAAGAACACTGCCTTGGAAGTTTGAGGCCCAGGTTCTCGTTCCACTTGGCCCTTACTCACTGCATGACTCTGGACAAGCCCCTTCCTCTCTTTGAGCCTCTTTAGTAGAATGTGGTGATACTGGCCACCAGCAAGTGTGAGGATGGACTGCCAAAGGGAGGGAGGATCCTTTTTACCCTGCGAGGTGTAAGCACTGACCTTACTCACAAACCCATTTTATAGGCAAGGGAATTGAGCAACCAAGTTGGGGCCAAAAGTTTAAACCAAACTGAGAAAATTTAAGTTTAAACAGCTGGTAAACACTTCATCAATTGTGCATGGATTGGGCACCTACTGCATATTCAAGTCAGTGCTAGGAAGTCACTTGTGCCAGTTAAGATTGTGGACTTCTCGGTCTGATTTGAGCTGTGCTGGGACCCATGAGAGGCCTGGTCTTCAGTCCAGAAGCCAATCTTCCCAGGATGACTTCCTCTGGTCACCCCCACCAGGGTGGGTCACTGTGTGTCCCAAGAATAGAAGCAACTATGAGGGCTTCCTGGGAGTGTCATCTTGGGTTTGGGTTTCAGTTCCTGTCAGCTGGGTTGGGCTCAGGAGGAAGAGCTTAGGTGTTAGGACTCATAGGTACACCTGGGAGGGGTGATCAGGACAGGTTCCTGCAGAAGACATGTCTATTGCTGGGCCTTAAAGGGTCAAGGGGACTTGGACTCTGAAGATTGAAGAGAACATCTCAGGTAGGAGGCGTAGAGGTAGGGAATGAGCCTACCCTGTGTGAGAAATGAAAAATAAATATTGTGGCTAGAGCATGGGATGAGTTGTGCAAAGAGGGGGCCAGATGGGAGGCCAGAACCCAAATGCTACTGCCTTGCTCCTGAGCTCAGCCTCAGCCTTCCCCGCCTGGCTTTCTAGCCTCTAAGCTTACATACAAGCTGTTTTCTCTGCCTGGGATGCTTTTTCCCACCTTCTTTGAATAATCCTTACTTATCCTTCCTGTAATTTTCTCATCTGTGAAATGAGAATGATTATTGGTATCTACCACATAGGCTGGTTTAAGAATTAAATGACACCATGTATGTGAGGTGTCCTGGCACACAGTAGGTACACAATAAACACTTGTTAATGGAATGGCCAATTCCAGGCCCCGCCTAAATGCCCCCACGTTGGGCTCCCTCAACTCACCACAGTCTATCTGCAGCTCTAGGTAGGTGGGGTGGGGGACTCTTCTTTCCATTTTACAGATGAAGAAACTAAGATTGAGGAAGGACCAGTGAGGTTCCCAAGATGTCCTAGCCAGGTGGCAATTTAACAGGGTCTTTCTGACTCTACAGCCCCCTTTTCCAATGTTCCCCCAAAGTCCAGGGGACTCCCAGGGGAATGTCTTCCC